TCAAGTGATTTGCTAATATAAATGACGTCTCAGCCATTGCTATGTCTGTCGTATCCCAGCTGGTCTGAAGATACCTGACAGTGGATGAAATACCTCGTCGGCAGGGGATAGAGTATATTTTTATACATTCTCTTTTCCGTTTACCCCGAAATGGTCATTAATGATTACTAGAGTAGTCTTCTCCAACTAAAAGTGTGATTACTTGACCCGCTTCGAGATCAAGAAGATTAGCTTTCTGAATAATGAACAGTTTAATTGATATGGTGTTAAAATGACTAAATAATATAGTGTAAAAATCCCTACCCTGATTCTAATATCTTTTGACATAGATAATTTGATGAAAATTTCACTTTAACAACTTAATAAAGTTCACTTGTAACAGTTATTGTAAAGTAATTTGCAAATATAAATGGCATCTCAATTACTCCAATATCTATCGTATCCCAGTTGGCCTTAAGAGCCCTGATATTTGGTGAAAAGCCTCGTTGGCACTGGATATAACATAATCTTAAAGGACAACAAGGGACCGTTTGGTCCATTTAGAACGAAATGAAACTAAACACTAAAAAAGTTGAAGCTGGTTCTTATCATTTAAATATTTGTCAAGTTTTCCTTTAAACACCATTAAATTAACTGCATCTACCACATCTGAAGGCAACCCGTTCCAAATACCAACCACCCTGTTAGAAAAAAAAAATTTCTTAGCTGAAGACGATTCCTATCCTGCCAAAATTTATATTTATATCTCCTAGTCTTATCATTATCACCATTATATACGAAAAAGATAATGTATCAACACTATCAGTTCACTTAACAATCTCAAACACCTCAATCAGATCCCCTCTAAATCTCTATTTTTCAAGAGAAAGCAGTTTCAGATTTTTTAACCTATCTTTGTATGAAAACCTTTTAGCCTCAGTTATCACACTAGTAACCTTCCTCCGGACCCTTTCCAACAATTCAATGTATTTTCTAAGGTAACGAGCCCAAGACTGAACACAGTACTCCAAATGTGGCCTAACCAATGACATTGTAACCTCTTTAGATTTGTATTCAATATTTTTGTTGGTACAACCTAAAATCCTATTTGCCCTGACACTCGTAACAGCACATTGCTTGGATGGCTTAAGAAACTGATGAACCAGAACACCAAGATTTTTTCTTCTATAACGCTGCTAAGGTTATTTTTATGAAAATTATATCCATAATTCAAATTATGATATCCCACATGCATAACCTTGCATTTATTATAATTAAAAGTCACCTGCCATTTATTTGCCCAATTCTCAAAATAATCCAAATCCTTCTGTTAATGTCATCAATTTGAATAATTTATTAATCATTGTTTTCTTTATGTCATTGATGTAAATAAAAAAGAGCAAAGGTCCTAAAACTGAGCTCTGTGGTATCTCACTCGTGACATTAATCCAGATTGACTGAAATCCATTTATAACAACCCTCTGCTTTCTTCCATTCATGTTCGAATCCCAGTCTCACCAAACATGCTCGCCCTTTCAGCCGTGGGGGCATTATAATGTGATGGTCAATCCTACTATTCGTTGGTAAAAGAGTAGCCCAAGAGTTGGCAGGGGATGGTGATGACTAACTGCCTTTCCTCTAGTCTTACACTGCTAAATTAGGGACGGCTAGTGCAGATAGCCCTCGTGTAGCTTTGCGCGATATTCAGAAACATACAAACAAACAATCTTCCATTCAACCAATTTTCTATTAAATGAGCCAACCTATCTCCTACACCTACAGATATAACTTGTTTAACAATAATTTTATGTGGAACCTTGTCAAATGCTTTCTGAAAATCCAGACACACCAAATCTACACCCGTACCTTCATCTACATAAGCAGTAACCTCTTCAACGAATATCAAAAGCTACTCCACTAGTGAAACCATGGTGACTGTCCAACAAAATTTTAAACTTTGTTAATTGAATTTGAAAAGTACCTTTTATCAGACTTTCAAAAACCTTTCCCACCACTTATGTAAGACTAATTAGGCCAATAATTACTGAAACAATTTTTATAACATTAGCTAACTTCCAATTTTCTGGCATCTGCTCACTATTTAAAGACTTAGAAAACATAGTAGAAAGTGGCCCACATATCCAATTATTAGCCTCTTTCAAATCGCTTGGGTAAATATTATCTGATCCAGGAGATTTTTGGTTCTTTAAACTTTCGAGTTTTTGCTTTAACATGCTCAGAATTAATGAGATCATTTTGCTCAGTCTTGTTTCCATCTAGCAACTGTTAATGGATGAGGATATTGCTTAAATTTTCGTAAGTCGAAACTGAAGGAAAAGTAGAATTCAGTAACCCAACCTTGCCATAATCATCAGATATAAGCCTTCCTGTATCTTTCCTCGAAGGAATTAATACCATTCTAACATCTTTTATACTTAATTTATTTGAAGAAATCCTTACTATTAACTTTTACATTTTGAGTCAACCATTTTTTCCTATACTTTTTGATTTACTAATTTCCCGTTTGACCAACTCTCTTTGTCTTCTATATTCCTTCAAATCTCCCATCATAGCAGTCAATTTAAACTTCTTGTACTTATAATGCTTTTATTTAATTTTATCCTTTATACCATTTGTGAGCCAACTTGGTTGTTTACTTGCAGATTGACATATTATTGTACATTATCTTTTATTTTTTTACTTTAGTTTTTTCCTTGAATATACTTTGAAAATTGTATTTATCAAATATTTATAATTTAAAGATCACATTTTATGGAGAGAATTTTTATACGCCAAGTTGTCGATTGTACAGTGATATTTTAACAGAAGGGACTACGTTGAATTGAAAAGCACCACTATATTTACTTATAGATTGGTTTAAATATTGTTACGACAGCGGAGGTCACGTGACGCTAGTAACACGTCATGCGCTTCTCGAACGTTCACGTCCCTTCCTGAAATCTCGAGAG